TATTTTCGTCGTATTCAGAAACTATTTTCGTCGTATTCAGAAACTATGTTCGTCGTATTCAGAAACTACTGTTCCTCATGCTCAGAAACTTCTATTCCCGAACTAGGGGGCAATGTGAACAATCGCACGCGTGGACAGTTGATGCGTTCTCTTGCATTCAGGGTGGGGTGGGGGGGTTGGGCTGGGGCAGTAAGCTTCCGTAGATGGTTGCGCGGACCAATGCTTTCGTGGGTTAGGGTGGGGTGGGGGGGAGGTGGGGGGGGGTGGGGCAGGGGCATTAAGCTTATGTGGATAGTTGCGTACCATGGAGGGCGGGTGGGGTGTGGGGGGTGTTGGGGCGCTTGTGAGAAAATCCGTTCAGAGCAGTTTTCCTGGCATTGCCATCGAGATACACGCACTGGAGAGAGATTCCGGCCCCGCAGTTTCCGAATACAGCCGTCGAGTTTCCGAATATGAGTTTCCGAATACAACCGTGGAGTTTCCGAATACAACCGTCTCAGTTTCCGAATACCAGTTTCCGAATACAACCGTGTAGTTTCCGAATACTAGTTTCCAAATACAACCGTGCAGTTTCCGAATACCACCCTTCCAGTTTCCGAATACAACCGCTTGAGTTTCCGAATACCAGTTTGCGAATACAACCGCGCAGTTTCCGAATCCCAGTTTCCGAATACAACCGTTCCAGTTTCCGAATACAACTGCCGAGTTTCCGAATACAACCGTGGAGTTTCCGAATACAACCGCCGAGTTTCCGAATACAACCGTGACCATTTTGACCGAGGCTTGTACCTTGCCTCCTGCCAAGGCACGAGAGGAAGAGGCGTGACCCAGAGAGGAACTTGAAGCGTCACGCGTTTGTAACTGAACCTGGCTCAACGTCAAAAAAACATATAAAAACACGTTCGAAAGGCTTTTCTGGGTGGTGGCCATGTACATTCTGATCAGCATTTCACAGAGATGATCCACAGAGCTTCATTTGCAGGTCATTTGGTATGCCTTCCGAGCCTTTGATGAAGCAGATGATGTCACGATCGAGAAGGTCTTACTTATGGCTCGCTTGCTTGAGGCAGGTTCTGCCGCTGCCAGCGGGATCCAGGGATTGGGCTCATTGACAAGCGTTTCTGAGCTCGTTGGGTTGGTTTGGAGCGTGGCAGTGTGGTGGCAGTGTTGTATTCTTTTTCCCGTCTTCTTGAAGTGTTACTAGTAGCTTCTTGTTACTAGTAGTAAGGCCAGGAGCGCCCCTAGTAGCGTCCTTGCTCCTAGTAGCGATGCTCCTAGTAGCAGGTGGAGAACTGGGCACGGAAGAACCAAATCCATCTTGTACCCGACAGGGCCAGTTGATCTCTCGAGAGCAGATTGAAGAGCTCATCACGGCGACTCGACGAAGAACGGTGACCGCACATGACGGCAAAGGGGGCATCTCAGGGGCCAAACAAGCCCTCAACCTCGAGATGTTTGACAATCACAAGATCAAGATGTGATAATAAGATGTGCACACTTTCGTGTCGATTAGTTGATCATATTCATAACTTGCAGGTGCTGCAATCTGAGCTCTCTCGAATTCGAGTCCCTCTGAAGTTCCTGGGCAAAAGGAGAGCGCGCTTCTGGATGATTCCGTTTTGCGGGACATTGGGTACATCAGGTGTATTTGTTTAAAAGTTTGATAGGGCAACACGGCCATTTGACACCTTCTGGCACTCCAAGAGGTGTCATTTCTTTAGTCGACACGTCACAGTCGACACGAGTCCTGAACGAACACCGAGGCTTGAGAGGCCGACCCTTGAGACCGAAGCGGAGGCGTCGGAGAGCAGCGGAGTCTCCGAACGGCTCCAGATGGAAGGAGAGCCGAGAGCCGAGAGCCTCGTCTTTGAGCGCGGAGCGCGAAACAGTGATTTCCTTTGAGTCTTCTGAACGTTTTGCTCTGATTTCTGAAGACATGGGACCTTTCCGAAGGTAAGTTCCAAGTTCCCCAGACAGGAGAGAGTGATGATGAAGACGATGAGTCGTTGCAGGCGAAGAAGTCGACATTGTGAGCTGCGATTATTCTGAGCGAATTGGGGTATGGAGCCACAACCGGTTTGTCTTGGTGAGACGAGCCCCAGATCGACGAAACAAACGCAGTTTTTGTTTCGACTGGACTCAGGGAGTCTCCCTGACTCAACGCACACCCTGAACGTCGGAACGTCGGATGTGAAGGAACATCATCCGTTATTTAATGGGGAGGGTGACCGGAGGGTGTACCCTCCATATTTTTTACGACCCCAGACCCCTAATTTCTTTGAGGGGGTCAGGTCCTCATTACACAGAAAACTATTTGTGCATGATGTCGCCGCTGCTTTTGATAACATTCCTGAAGCGCCTGCAAAACGGCAATGTCTGCTGATGAACAAAAACAGAATGACAAATCTTCATAGGAGCTACAGTTGGCTTCCAGGCGGAATGAGGAGGTACCTGGAAACCAGCTACAGGGAAAACGGTTGGTTTGGAGGTCAGGCCAGGTCATTTTATAGAGAACACAGGGCGTCGGACGAGAAATGCGCTTCGCTCATGGTTTGCTGACAGTACTTGACGAGCATGTTTGATCATTTTTGCCAATGTTCCTTGAGATTAAGATAGGTCAGGTATATAGACTCAAATTAACATTTTGAGTGTTTTAGATGTTTTAGTAAGGTGGTTCAATTTAGGGTCTCCCTGCGTGTTGGCTCCACCGTGTCATATTATGTCTATAAAATGGGCTGGTGAACCCCCTAGCTGCCGCAGCCAAATTGACACCGTGATAGTTTTTGCATGGCCAGGATGGAGCTGTACCCCGCGTGTCCATGGGGAGCAGGCCCAATTCCTGGAGCCTTTGCTTTGTCTAGAAATGATTCACAAAATAAGAGTAAGAACTTGCACACATCACCAGGGCATGTCGGAGTTTGAGTCAAAGATCAAGCACATGCATGATGAACTTGATGGAGGATCCTTCATTTGATTTTGTCGATTGTTTTCATCCCAATCCCAACTTGAAGGCCAACGATTTCTGGGAACTCAAGCATGATGGTGCCGAGCTGTGGGTTGAACACTGCAACGATCTCTGCGGTGTGACTTTCGTGACATGTCGCCTCATAACATATTTCACTGTACATTGTACTGCTTTGATGAGTCTTTTAGCCACAAGATGCCACAAGTCTGGAAAAGACGATGGACACTTCTTGTCCAGGGCTCGGGGCGGCTTCCGCCACGGCTGCCGCTGCCGCCCTGGTCATATCGAAACTTGCAGACACTTGCCATATCCTGCCATGTTCTTTTTCACAGCAAGGCCGAACAAGGAGAAAGAAAAGAGCAAAGAGGCGGGTGCCGTAGAAGTCGATGTCAGAGGTTCTGCTTGTGAGACCAACCGACGCCCACTCGCCAAGGGCTTTATGCAGCGGAAGTGGCAAGGTCTTGTGGAGAAGACCAGGAGCGATACCGTATACCTGTCTTTTGGTCCTTTCAGCTAAGAGTCTCAGTTTTGGAAGCTTCCTGAATGAGATCCTTTTCAGCTCTTTTCACACACTACGGCCCATGCCCGAGCTGTTGTCCAACTCGTCTTGGCATCAGACCTTGGTCGTGCAGCTTAGCTCAGAGCACCTCTTTAGTGCCTCTGTAGCCATGGAACTGTGCTTAGCTCCCTTTCGAGCTTGGCTTCGCTGCACTTCTCAAGCAGAAGAGAAAGCAAGCCATGCTCTGGGCTCGATGTCAAAGCTTTGCGCCAAAAATCCTTGGAAGCTTCTCGGCCCAACATGGCCAAACCAAATGAGAACAACAGGGTTCGTTTCTGTTCTTGCAGGATCGCTACAACAAAAACACGCATCCCGGCCCCAATGAAAGACTCCGGTCGAGTCTTTTAATAGAGTTTAGTAGGGGTGCCCCTCGTTGTTTTCTTTTTTTTAAATATATAGTATTATACGATCACACACACATATATATATATATAAATATGTAGTAACATATAATACAGAACCTTGTATTAAACTCGTCCAACAAACAAGAAGCTCAAGGGTCTTCCTTTCCATTTACAAGAACCTTCAATTTAACTCGCTTGTAAACTTTCCATCAGACTAACATATAAGGATTTCAACATGTCGGTGAACAGTGTGCGTTTGTGGCTCCGTGCCATTGTGCAATGGGACCTGTCGCTGATGAGCAGCACGACTGGCGGTGATACTTAGTAAATTAGGCACTTAATTGAAACACATATATATATATATATAGCCCAAAATTGCATTGGGGGCAGTTCGGTGGTGGAAAGTGAAGATGATCATGAAGATTCAAAGGTAAACTGCAATTGGGGGTTTCGGACTTTGAGTTTTTGGACTGGGCAGGACCTTTTTGGAAAGAGCTACTGGTACGGGTTCATTGGCTACAAATCTTAAGTTGGTTTAAGTTTCCTTAAGGCGCACTCCAAAAACAGCTTTCTGGGCGACAAACCCTACGTGTTTTTGATCGGCTGCGCTTCTGTGGCTTGCACTTCACGGCCGGTGTGGCTTGATCGCTCAGTGCTTTCGGTGACTCCGTGCCCTTCCGTGGTTCTGAGGTGCATAGCGCTGTCCTTGCTTTGCTGCTTGCTGCTGGGTCTTGGATTTCTACGATTCGAATCAGAGAGCGCAGCTCAAAACTTATGGGTGGACCAAGAGTCCCAGCAGATGATGAACACGAACTGGGTCAACCAGTACTTCGAGGGAGCCGGCATACCTGCGCGGTTGGTAGTTACTGCAAGCTATCTTTTGCATTGAAAGTGTTTTGGTATGTTTTGGTTGTTTATGTTGCTTCACAGAATGAGTCCTGACAGGGTGAGTTGTCAGTGAGTTTGCAGTTTTGATAGCTTTGGCACAGTTTCTGCTCAGGCAAAGGATGGAGGCAACATCTTGGAGATCGCAAAAATGCAAGAAATTTTTGGGATTGTTGACAACGTTAGGGCTCTCGTGGATGAGCAGGGTTGGAAACTCGAAGATGTTTGTTTGTGGGCAACAAGCGACTGCTTCATTGGTGGAGTTGTGAGATACTTTGGATCTACGGCAAACTTCAATCAAACCGTGCAAAACCAAGCTGATATCCTTCAAGCAGTGAATTCAGCCACCTTTCCTGATGGTGGAGAAGCATATGCCAGTGACAGCCTGGGTGGCATTCAACGTGTGAATGGTAGTATCACAAGTGCTACTGCTGCCCGCGTGGACTTTATCCTGTGGGCAAATTATGATGATGCTGCTTCCTGGGGCTATGCGCTGCTCAATCACTTCGTCGAAAATGATCTCACCAAGCAACGCTACCAGACAGTGAATGTCTATGTGATGACTGATCAATCGATGGACGATGAGTTGAATCGAACGGTGCAGGCACGCCATCAGCGAAAACAGGAGAAACCCACACACACACACTTTCAAGGTTGTTCCAGAGAGCCCAAACCCTTGTGGTGAGGGCCAGTGCCAATGTTGCTTGAAAGAGCAACCATTTTGTTGATTCAGTACTTACTTTGATTGCTTGACCACACTTGGAGGCCGATATTCCGCTCTTCGTATTGGCCTTTGTTTTGATGTCCACCTTCTGTGCGATCTTCTTAGGGAAGGCTTGGAGCTGGACTCAAAGCAGAAGGCTTTTGGGTATGGCCGAATTCTTCCTGGTGATCTTCGGAGTTGTTGCTGGCTACGGAACATGTACCTCAACTGAGAGTTCTTATAGTATATTCTTTAAAAAAGCATTTTTTTCAGTCGTCAAGATATTGCCAAGCACTGAGCAATTGGACGCTTCGATGCTCGCCTAGGCACCCACACATGTGCTGTGTTTCTGCACGAGACGTGCTGTGTTTCGACCATGGCAGGTATGCTGATTGGTGTAAAGTTCACGGTCTTGACGCAGATCCTCCCCTTCATTCTAGTGGGCATCGGCATCGACGATGCCTTTGTTATCTCGGGTGCCTTTGATGCTGCAGATAAGACCTTGAGCATCCCCGATCGAATGGGAAAAGCCATAGAACGTGTCGGTGTCTCGATCACGCTCACAAAGCTTACTTCATTGGCATCCTTCCTGCTGGGTGCAACATGCGTCTTCCCCGCGGTGCAGTGGTTTTGCAACTTAGCAGCACGGGTGACCTCAGACAAAAGGCAACATGTAACGGTCAAGAATTAGGGTGATCACAAACTCCATGCCTCTTCGTTGCTCAAAGGGTGGAGACCAAGAATTGCCTCATTTGTTGAGGCTTCTACGCAGCATCCTCTTGTTTCTTCCTGTGGCTTTTGCACTTGACTGCCTTTTGTGCCATGTTGACACTGGATGCCCAGCGAGCTGCTGCCCATCGGCTTGATCCACTCCCTTGCATTGCAGCACGAAACATGTGCATGCCCGGGGTTCTGCCATTCTCAGGTGCCTTGACTAAAGTGAAGGCAAAAGCCACCAATTCATTGGAAGCCAATAGACTTGGAAACCCCAGACTTGGTACGTTTCTTTTTCCAAGTCCAAGTTGGTCCACCCAAAAACAGCGTTTCTCGCTTCAAAGCCGAGGTGAAAAGGATCAGTCGGCAGTGGAGGATCGACTGGGCGCTGCCTTAGGAGCGATGATCCGTGTCATCACAAGCCATCCAGCAGGCATTATTCTCACACTCGTCATCTTCTTAGCACTGGCTGGAGTGTCCGCATGGCAGGTCAGCTTGGGATTAGGCCTGGGATTCCAGCTTGGAGCTGTGCTTTCATGTGCTTTCAGCTTGGCACTAGGCTCTAGGCTTCAGCTTGGCCTCAGCTCTTGCCCTGTGAGGAACCGATTTTGATATCATGGATCTTTCGCCGGACAACAGCTACTTGCGAGACTTCTACAACAAGGATCAGGGATCGAATAGTCGACCCTCCGTGATCCCCCAAGACAAGTGATGGAAAGTGAAGGAACCTTTTGTTGAACGCTTCGGAATGTGCAGACCAAGTCGAAGTCTGTACACGTTGGTTTTAGACTGGCCACTCTCGGCCACCAGGAGAACGAGCACTTTGGTGGTCTTTCGCAAGGTGGCCTGGCTTTGCCGGCTCATTACTACGTGAAAAGCATGAATTTCAGCTCGGTGGAGGTGCAGCGGCACATCGAGCAGGCCTTTTGGACGGCAACGAACGTTTGCGGGGTGAGGTTTGCTGGGTGACCCCAACGGACGTTTTGCCCACTTCCGGGGTCACTGGGGTGAACTTTGGTCGGCGCATCTGGTAGCCACGCTGAGGTTGGCGCAGAGATGTTGGCGATGAAGAGTATCAACGCAGAGAGAGGTTTGTACAGCTGGCACACAGCCTTCACGCTTTGGGCCAATCAAAATCGAGGCAGGAAGACTTGTGCTGACTGCAACTGTCGATTGGGAGAACTGACGTTGTTTGTGCTGATTTTGTATCACCAAAGCTCGGGCCAGGCGCGAATGGCAACCTGCCGTCTGATGCATTTGTCTCGGTTGAGAGCGACCGGGAGGGATGCAGTGCTGGCTTACCAAGTGGTGTGACCACTTGCGTACCTTGGAAGATCTTTGGCACAGAGGATTGCATGAAGAATCTGCGATTTGAACGCCTTTTCACATCTCAGGCTAGCCACTTCTTAACCGGGCCCACATTCGTGCCCGCTTTATTGGAGTTCCTGGAAACTCCATGGGGCTCTCGATTTACAAACGAGGTGGTCATTGCGAACAATGAGATCCAGGCGCCGATCATTTTTTGGACCAACGGGACAAGTTTTTGCCCAAAACTTATCCAAAAGTTCCAGTAAGTGCGACATGATCCCACTGCAGGTGATGCGACTTGGGGTAGTGCACGTGGATACCACTAGCAGTGGCCCACAGATTGACTCTTTGGAAGAGGCGGAGGCCCTTACAGCGAGGTGGCAAGCATCACTTCCTGGAAGCTTCATGAATGCACAAGCTTACATCTTCTTTGACCAGTACAGGACACCTTGCACCCATTAACCCTAAGCAATGCAGTACATGTCAAATTGTTCTGGACACATTCATTCTTGCATTGCTGGCAGCAAATATCTTTTTCGAAGGATCATTCTGTCGCAGATGACAAGCAGCATTGGGCTGTGCTTAGCAGCAGTGACGCTGATCAGTGCTGTGATACTTGCACATCCACTCTCTGTCTTGGTGGTCATCATTTGCCTTGCTTTGGTATTTATGGACTTAATGGGGAACATTGTCTTGTGGGATTTAGACTTGAACTCCATCTCAATGATCAACTTGGTCATGGCGGTTGGATTAGTGGTTGACTACAGCAACCTGGATGTGTGTGAGTGTGTCATCGCAAGAGTTTTTCGAGAATTTGCTACATCAGTCTGATGGTTGTCCCATCAGTCAACCACGCAGGATGGGTAGGAGGCTGATACCTCAAAAAACACTCCTTGCCCATACCCGAGTTGCTCTGCTGACATCATATTTCTTCCACAGTGTACATTGCGCACATTTTTTTGCCGGTCAAATGCTTCGATGTTTGTTTGCAATGTTTGTGTAAGGCATGCACATGGCTCACAACTTCAGTCTTCAAGATCCACTGTTGTCCAAGAAAAAGAGGGCGGAGCTGGCTGTGAGAGATGCTCGATTTCCATCCGGAGTGGGTCGCCTTTTCAATCCTCTCTGTTATTTTCGAAAGTTATTGGCAAGTTTTTTGCACGTGTTGATAAGGGCTTTTGTCGCATCGTCGCCGATCACTGAGGAAATGGGCCAGCCCATCTTTCTAGGAGTGAGTGCTGCAGCTGCACTTTCAACGTACCAATTTCAGCATGTAACTAGTAGCTTCTTGCTCCTAGTAGCGATGCCAAGAGCTACTAGAGCGTCCTTGCTCCTAGTAGGAATGCCCTTTCAGCAAATATTGAGAGCCGGCCTCCAGCGATTTTGCACCCAATGAGTAGATTTGGTCCTTCCCTGTTTAGTGTGACTTTCTTTAAGTCTTGCAAGTGTTCCTTGTGAGGTACCACGTTCCTGGCTATCCTGCCATTGGCATTCTCTTCCAGCCAAGCATTTCGTGTCTTCTTCAAGATGTTCTTTGGCATCGTCTTGGCCGGAGGCACAGCTTCCTTTCTACGCGTCGAGAACACCAAGATCTTACATGAGCTTACCGTACTATCCAGAATTAATTCAATGCTGTAACACTGACTTTTCACTGCGAGATCTTTGTCAGATTCCACACAAACAGGGAAAACAACATCCCTTTTGGATCCGTTTGGGTATTTTGGTTCTTTTTTTGTGCCAGAAACACCTGACAGGAAGTCATGGCTTGATCTTCATGCCGGTCCTCTTGTCCATCATGGGCCCCACCGTGTCACACTCCGACCAGGTCCAGCAGATCTCAAACGAGGATCAGGTGTCAACGAACGAGTGCGTCGAGACTCCCGACGGCGAAAAAGCAGGTCCAAACAAAGTACCAGAGAGTGCGCCGAAGGTGCCTGTGCCCTGAAGTGTTTTTCTATTATTATGCTGGGTGTCCTTGCGTCTGGAAAAGGAGGCACTCATGACTCAAACCATCTCAAACCCAATACAAAGTGCTAAGAATCTGTCTTTCAGTGCCTGGAGTTCCAGCGCTAATTCCTGCACTACGAAAGATGCAAGGGTTTTGACCGGCCAACATCCTCTGTCTGACGGCGACATGTAAAACTTGTACCGGAGCCAGACGTGGTTTTCCGCCCACCTTCCAAAGGACAGGCCAGGTGCGGTTTGGGGGTGGCAGTCGTTCCTGGGTCCAATCCGGAACAGGCCCACCCATGTCTTAGTAGATCGATGAGAGGCTTGCCACGGGACTCTTCTTTCAGCTAAACCGCAGGATTCTCCAAGAATCCAAGATATCTCACGTATCTCATCAGGTATTAAGCCCTTGAGAAGAGTATGGTCCACAGATACGAGACAAAACAGGTCTAATCCCTTCCTGCAGGGTGTTTGCTGGAATCGTTCCTGGCGTGTCTCTACCAAACCACCGCCAGCGGAAGGAAAACTTGACGTTCCTGTGTCTTTCTTGTGGGCTAGGATACCTTGGAAAAAAAACATGGGAGGTGTTCAGGAAGTGTGGCGCCAATGTTTGATCAGAAAATGGCTTCAAAGATCTTCAAAGGCATTAGCACTAGTAGCTAGAAGCTACTAGTACCTTCCGTCTTTCCCCAGGAGATGGGTCACAAGGCCTCGGCCTCTGGACTTTGGGGAATTCGTTTTTCTTTGTGACGAGTCTGCAACAAGAGGCCTCCAACTGGGCACCGGTCTGTGATATGGAATTCAACAACAGGAAGTCAGGTTTCAACACACCCAGTTCTTATCAAGATGGTATAAAACTGGTTCTATCATGTTATATCACGTTATATCTACCATCGACTACCACGAATTGCTTTGTTCTATTCCTTTGATTCTATTTCAGTCGATTGCTTCTTATCGCCTTCGCCATCTTAGGTGACACGCGTCGGAAGGGAGTGGGGCCTGGAAAGCTCCTCTACCGGGTGGCCCGAAAGGCGCGAAGAAGCAAAGAAGACCGGGTCGCCACATTGGAAGTCTTGGAGAATTGCCACGTTCAAGACTGCTTGACGAGCTAAACACTATTATCTTTATTTTTGTTTTTTTATTATTTCTCACATTTGCTTTTTGTATCTTCTTGTTTGCTCACAGCTTGTTGCCAGTTGCCAGGAGCTTTTCCGGATCTTTCTGAAGCATGATCTGGACTTCTATGAAGTTGTCCACAAGGCGTTTGACATGACAGATTCCAACAGGGTTTTCCAACAGCTCCGATGAGAAGTATTCTTGGCGGCTAAATATTACTCTATTTTTTCCCAGAAAAGGAGCTAAACATTGGGTATTCTTGTTCGCATCTCATCTATCTGATATATATATATATAAATATGTAGAGAGAGAGAGAGAGAGAGAAATGTAAATAAATACATTCCTTCAATCTCAAACACCCAAGACTTCACCGAGATCTCTGGATGCCAGACCTGAGGTGCCCGATTTCGATTGGCCTCCAAAGGCACGTCGTGGCTGCACGGGTGGGTCGGTAGGACTTGGCGACGTTGCGGACATCCATTGACCTTTTGCCAGGCGGGCGACGTTGCACGAACTCCCAATTCTTGCCACTGCCACGGGGCCCAGGGTGGCCCAGAACTGTTTTCTTCCTCTCGACGTGACGCGAAGCGCGCGCTGCTTCGCTTCGCCGCTCGCTTTTTGGACCGTCCTTCCAAGTTGCCACTGGTGGTCTCTACTCGAAGCAGCAACAGGCAGGTGACAACACAACACAGGTCAATCAATCAAGATTCATTCTCGAAACATGTCAGGTCAGGGCAACCAAAAAGGAGGCCTGGAAGCACCACACAAAGCTCAGGGAAAAACACATCTGTTTCTTGGGCAGTTCGCTTCAATTCCATCGTCATCCCTTTTTCAAGGGAGATGATGCTGATGAGTGACGAGTGACGAGCACCGTTTCGTTTCGTGCGCAGCACGTGCATCGTCTCACCGGAGAAGGACGAGTGCGTCTCGGCGAGAAAGCGAGAAAGCTTCTCATCTTGATCATTGGATGTTTCAACATGAGATTGTACTTTTGTAAAAGTGCAACTTGTTTTGCTTCTAGGCAAGGGAGTTTTAGCGGGGATTAGAGTCTGGAAAGTGATAAATCAATGGTGGCAGGCGACGATGCTGAGGAGCTTCCTGAAGAGGTGCAATGCTCTTGGTCAAGTGTTAGTGTCAAAACCAGCAACCCCAATTTCTTGAGGGATCTTGATGGGAAACAAGAACAAAAACGGATTGGAAGGGGTTGGATTTCGAACATATTTGACCCCTTCCTCCAAGCTTGAAGCTTGACCAGGCAGAGGTGACGAGACTCCGAGCACCACCGGCATTTTGAGTCGATTGCACAGCTCTTTGCACAGCTTCTAGAGCCATTAATTCACCGCTCCTGCTCCTCCCATTGTGAACTCCACTTACTTCCTAATCTTCCTAAAGCAAACACATATAGACATGTTGCATGCTCATGAGTTTAGCTGGGCCAGTTTTCAGAAGGTTTCCACGTCAGGATGAGAGATCAAACCTTCAGCAGCAGTTGAAGAGTCTGACAGAGGCGTTGCCGGCAGAGCTGTGAGACGGGGTTTCCCCCTTCAACATATAACCCTTCTGGAGCCTATCTTCATACTTGCTGAATTTAAGCGGAAGGCATGAAGCGACGATGAAAGGGACCCTTTATTCACCGATACAATGCAGATTCAGGTGATCTAGCGCAGTGGAACTCACCTTCCAGTGTTCAGTGACGTGCCACGCATGATCAATTTCGGACAACTTGGGACATACAGTGGTTTCAGAGTAGATGGATGTAGATGGCACAAACCGAAACTGAAACCATTCTTACGGATCAGATGCCACTGCCATCATGCGACTTACAGCCGTCGCACACAGCCGTTGCTTTCTTCAGGAGTTGGAGTCAGCGCAGGCACTGGCAGTTGGAGTGGCACAGAGCTCAAACAAAAAGGATGTCGGATGTCTCCTGTCGACAGCCCATGCAGCCGGACTCATGTGAGGCCCGTGATGTGGCATCGGAGGAGACCTGTTTCGAGTCGCGACCGAGACGTCTTGGAGACGAGACGAGTCCGTTCGGAGGACGTCTCAAAGGAGATTGCCCTGCTGAAGTGCTTCAAGGACTGGAAAGATTTGAGTTGATTGCATGGCTGCATGCAGTAGCTTGTAGCTTGTGGTCCTTAAATGACTGTTAGCTCTAAACCCCGAAACGATTCTCAACAACACTTTGCATGGAGTCATGATGGGATTCCAATTGGGGTAGCAGCTTCATTGCACTATATATAATCTCTGAAATCCTGCACCATTCAGTGGTCACTAGCTTTCGCAGTCGCACTGGGGCATGCTGTACAGGGGTTGATTGCGAAGGGGTCAAGTTGGACTCACCCGATCTGGGAACACAGAAAGAGACACAAATACATTAATATACCTACTGTACTATTTTGGGAACAGCAAATTTTGACCAGATACACTCCGGCAACTGGCAACATCCAAATCTTCATCAGTCATTGGGGTGGAAGGATGTGGCATTGGCTCGGAAGAAGGATCTCTTTTCGAGCGGTGCCATGACGCCGGACCACCAGGATTGGCCATGACTGTGACCTTTGGAACGTACCAAAACTTCACTCCAAGAGTTTCAGTGAATTGCTGATCCAAGTAATCACTATTACTAGGGGCTCCTGGCCATACTACTAGGAGCAAGAAGCTACTAGGGGCTCCTGGCATCGCTACTAGGAGCAAGGATGCTACTAGGGGCTCCTGGCTATAGTCGTCAATGGTCATCCCATATTTCATCCAAAGGAAGAACACGTCGTGAAATGCCCACGTCGCAGGCCGTGGCCTCGCATGTCCCGGATCTCCTTGTGGCGCCCGACGATGACCACCCAACGAAGCTTGAGGCAGACAGCGGGGGAGTTGGTGGACTGCGGACTCACATAGACTCCAGGTCAATGTGGAGCTTCAAAGTCTGATTTCATGCAAAAAGTAAAACACAAATGTTGAAACTATGCAAATGTGATGAAATGCGATGAAATGCACTCATCTATAGCATGGAAGCATTTTGCAAGTTGGATAGACTTGGGCTATTGTGAGGTCAACGAGAGCTTTTGATGCGAAAAGTGCTCGAGGGTGCCACTGTGAATACCATGATGAACATTGACCTGATGCTTGTTGGAATGTTCACTCTTTGCCATGCCGCACAACCGTCGGACGAAGGTCATTGTATGACTTGGCGTGTTTGTATGGCTTGCATTGGACGAGTGCCTTTGAACATCTTTCAGCATCATGCGCTTGACGTCCTCACCCAGCCGATTGGCTCAGCAGACTTCGACTTAGAGTGAGGAACGATTGAATACGAGGAGTTCGGATTTCTTTGTGACACACTCCAGACGATAGGTGTTCTGGTTTTGTTCGAGGTCGTGGTTGTTCCTGTTTTTTTGCACTTGGAGCATTTTTCCCGAAAGCATTGCGAAGGGTTCTTCCGGAAAATCCTTTGAACACTGACACTTCGACACTTACACTTCGACACTCACACTTACACACACACACACTGGAAGAGCGAAAGCATCCAAGTGCGAAGTATGCCAGTGTCAAAGTATGCAAGTGTAAGTATGCAAGCATGATATGCAAGGGTGAGTATGCAAGCATGCAATGACTATGCAAGCATGCAATGAGTAGGCAAGTGTGAGTATGGAAAACTAGCACGGGAGATGTCCTAATGAAAAAACATTTTCCCACTTTATAAATTCTCTCTTAAAGGCGGAGTGCGGGACAAACAGCATCAACCGAAAGTGCAACCCTCTGCGGAGATCGTGCGTGTCGAGTGCGCGAAATGCAGGCGAGAGTGCGATTTGTCCGGTCCGCGCGCAACCCTCTGCGGAGATCGTGCGTGTCGAGTGCGCGAAATGCAGGCGAGAGTGCGATTCGCCGGGTGCCCGCGCAACCCTCTGCGGAGATCGTGCGTGTCGAGTGC